ATGTGAAAACATCCTTTTAGTGTCAAACTCTAACATCAAACATCTAACTGTACGAACAAAGAAGAAAATATATTTTGTTTCAGAAACTGTTGATACCACTCTCATGTCTGTCTGTTAAATATGAAGCTACAATCAGCAGCTTAGCTTAGCTTAGCACAAAGACTGGAAATAGGGGGAAACAGCTAGCCTGGGTCTCTCCATAGGTAATAAAATCTGCCTACAGGCAGCTATAAACCTTACTGATTATCATGTTATATATTGTTTGTTTAATTTGTACAAAGAGTGTCATCACCAGGTAGCTCCCGGGTTTAAAAAGTAGTCCAGCATATATTCCCCAATAAATGTCTAGTCTTCTGAACACTCAAAGTGCTTTACACTAAATGCTACATTCACACAGTGATGGCAAAGGCTGTCACAAACAGAAACTAACTCATTCACACATTCATACAATGATGCTCTTGCTCAAGGACACTTAAGACAAGCAGTGGGAGGAGCCGGGGATCAAACTGCCGACCTTCTGATTGACCCGCTCTACCTCCTGAGCCACAGCCGCCCCATAATTAGCAAACTTTAAAGGTGCTGTTGGTGATTTCTTTTTGGAAGTTGGACAGAGCAAAGCTAGTTGTTTCCAGTCCTTATGCTAAGCTAAGCTAACCATATTTGTTGTATTGTTTCCCAAAATGTCAAATCATTCCTTTAAGGGGTGGAAAGTATGCAAGACATCTAAATGTAGACATCTAGTGTGAACTTAGTGCACCTTAATGTACAGTGCACCTTAAAGGGGTGAGTGACAGTTTGCAGGGTGAAAACAGGGTCAGCAGACAACAGGAAAGAGCACCATCTTCTCTGGGTGGGCTGTGTTTCTGTGTGTGTTGGAGGTCGGGGGGCAATATGTGACAAACAAATTGGTAGGCAGATGTAGTGACTGACCCCCCCCACCCCACCCTCCTCCCTTTTAGTCTAGGGCCACATTGGGTCCCCTGCCTCTCAGACAATGGCAGTGGAGGATCTCAACATCAGATTAAGCCTGCCTTTTCCTCACCGGGGTCAAAGGTCAAGTGGGGCATTGTCTCTGGGGACTGTGGACATTAAACAACGTACACGTCCCCTTAGAAAAAGGCGGCAATCAAGAGGGGAGGGAGGAGGGCGAGGGGAAGGAATGTGTGTGATGCTCTCTGAGGGCCTCGCTGTCACTCCCCAAACAACAAGGTGAGATATAAAAAAGGGGCGGTCGGGTTGAAGCAGCTGCTCTGAACAGCCAGCGGAGGACAAAAGACTGGAATGCACCGTCTCTATAGCGGCGTACGGAGGCGTTTCTGCACTGTGTCTCACTGTGGAAGATTTGCTGCGAGATGGAGAAAAAAATATTTGCAGGGGAAACAAAGCCGGGTGTAAATCGAGTGCAGGATTCAGCAGTTGTTATCAGAGGGGGGAATAATTCGGAGCTCATGTTTTTTCTGTTTTCTCGCTGAGTTATTCTGTGATGTTAAATGTTTCACACATGTCCAGAGTGCAGTCAAGAGGAAAAGAAAGCTAAGAAGGGATCAGGAATGAGCACAGAGATCTGGAATAAGATATCTCCTGACGCACAGAAACATGTGGTGTCCCAGAAATCTCAGACAGCGAAAAAGACCCAAAAAAACTCGCCTCTGAAGTGTTTACCCGATATAATTCCAACACTTGTTTGCTTTTAGTCGAGGGCAAAAGTGATGTCTCGTCATCTTGACCTCTGTGTTTGCTCTGGTAAACGCAGCCTGTTAGAGGCTTTAGAGTGGAAATCCTCTGTGTGGAGTCAGATGGCAACAGGCTCAAAGCCCTCTGACTGACATACAAGGGAAGTGACTTGTTAGTCCTTCTGTTTGTTGAGTAAACTTTAGTGACTTTTTATTTGTAGTCTTTGCTTTGGGTTTCCTGTGATTCCCGGTAAGATCATTTTTAAGGTCAGAAGACG